ATATTTGTATATATAGCAAAATGATCACAAGTCTCACCACATGTAGTTACACTTTGTATGTGTGTGATGAGAACTTTTAATATCTGCTCTTAGCAACTTTTAATTATACAATACAGTAGTATTAATTATAGTCACCATGCTGTACATTGTATCTTCAGGACTTATTTATTTTATAACTGGGAGTGTGTGCCTTTTGATCACCTACACCCATTTTGCAATCTCCTCTCAACCCCTCACATCCCCGCCACCACCCCACCTCTGGCAACCACCAATCTGTTCTCTGTATCTGTGAGTTTGGTTTCTGGTTTGTTGGTTGTTGTTGTTTTTTCTTTCCTTTTTTAGATTCCACACATCATTGAGATTGTATAGTATTTATATGACACCTGGTTTTAAGTATAGGTGTACACTTGAGCAAAGATTAGAACTACCATTTGAATACATTTAGAGCATCACCTCGGTATAAAGGTGATTTCTTGAAATATCTTGACAGAATCTAGTATTTTGCTAGAATTATTTCTTTTCGTTCCTCCTAAGAATCTTTTCCAATGGAAAGAACTCTGTATATGAAGCTATACTGTTTTAGAAATGAAATGTCAGACTATAACTTTAATATAGAAAAAAATATAGGTTCTGTTTAAATATCTGTCATAATTTTAGAAAAGTAGATCAGTGGACACAATTGGGAGGAAATGTGTATGCTTTCAGATATATAGAGCACACCAATATTTGTAAAATGTGCATTATAGAATTATTTCTTTTACCTCATAGATATTTCCAAGGGAAAAAAGCAGTTGTTACACTGAATAGTAAGGTAACATAAGTTTTAAATAATTATTCTGGACTTCCGGTCAAGATGGCGGGTAGGTAAATGCGGTATCGCGTCCTCCCACAACCACATCACAGTTACAACTAAACTACAGAACAACCATCATTCAAAACCTCCTGAAATCAAGCTGAATGGAAGTCCTACAACTACGGAATTAAAGCAGCAGCCACATCCAGACTGGTAGGAGGGCGGAGGGGACGGGCTGGTCCCACACCCACGTCTGGCGGATAAAAATCAGGAGGACCCCTCGGCTGGGAAGGTCCTTCCTGAGGACTGAGGGGTCCCCGTCCCACACCAGGTGCCCCGCTCAGGGTTCCAGTGCCAGGAAGAGAGTCCCCATAACTTCTGGCTGGAAAAACCAGCAGGAACTGAGGCTCAGGGAAGCTGAGGCAGCTGGAGCCCCAGGCAGCTCCTTAAAGGGCCCGCGCACGGACTTATCGGACTCTCTCCCTCTAAGCTTGGAGGGGAGGCAGCTCGAGGGGCGCCAGAGACACACAGGGAAGAACTGAGCTGTTTGGCACTGGAGCGAGGGCTGGAGAGGGGGCTTTCTCCGGGAGAGACATGCTGTCGGAGGCCTTTGTTCCTTTGGTGAGCCTGTCCCTGGGGCGGCAGACAGAAGCCATATCTGGGACTCCAGCAACCTGGCTCACAATGGTAGCCCCGCTCTGGTGATTTCCTGAGGCCATCCAACTTTCAGGCCCACCCAAGCTGTTGCCAGTTGCTTAACCATAGGATTGGCCTGTCTTGGATCCTGCTTCAGGTTTCCCTAAATTATTTCAAACAAGCAGCATCTGGTCTCAGATAGCCCCATACCTCTCATTAAGTAATACATAGAAACAAACACAGGGAGGCAGCCAAAATGAGGAGACTAAGAAACAGGTCCCAAATGAAAGAACAGAACAAAACCCCAATAAAAGAACTAAGCGAAATGAAGATAAGCAACCTAACAGATGCCGAGTTCAAAATACTGCTTATAAGGATGCTCATTGAACTTAGTGAGGGCCTCAAGAGCATAAAAAAGGACCAATCAGAAATGATGGATGCACAGTCAGAAATGAAGGAGGCATTAACTGAAATAAAGAACAATTTATACAGATTCAATAGTAGAGTACGTAAATGCAAGGAGCAAACCATCGATTTGGAATATAAGGAAGCAAAAAATGCCCAATCAGAACAGCAAAAAGAAAAAAGAATCCAAAAAAATGAGGATAGTGTAAGGAGCCTCTGGGACAACTTCAAGCGTGCCAACATTCACATCTTGGGGGTGCCGGAAGGAGAAGAGCGAGAACAAGAAATCGAAAACCTGTTTGAAACAATAATGGCGGAAAACTTTCCTAACTTGGTGAAGGAAACAGACATACAAGTCCAGGAAGCATAGAGAGTCCCAAACAAGATGAACCCCAAGAGGCCCACACCATCATCAAAATGCAAAAGGTTCAAGACAAAGAGAGAATCTTAAAAGCAGTTGGTTACCTACAAAGGAGTTCCCATAAGGCTATCAGCTGATTTCTCAAAAGAAACTTTGCAGGCCAGAAGGGAGTGGCAAGAAATATTCAGAGTGATGAGAAGCAAGAACCTACAACCAAGATTACTCTATCCTGCAAAGCTGTCATTTAGAATCGATGGCCATATAAAGACTTTCCCGGACAAGAAAAAGCTAAAGGAGTTCATCACCACCAAACTGTTATTATATGAAATGGTGAAGGGTCTTTTTGAAGAAAAAGATAAAATATTTGAACAAACAAAATGGCAATGAATACATATGTATCGACAATGGAATCTACAAACAAAATGAACAGGCAGAACAGAATCATTCTCATAGATACAGAGAACATTTTGTTGGTTGCCAGTTGGGAGGGGGGTTGGGGGAATGGGTGAAAAAGGTGAAGGGATTAAGAAGTACAAATTCATTGCTAGACTGACAAACCTCAAAGGGAAAGAGGTTGGGGGGTGAGAAGAAATAACCCGAAGAACTTATATGCGTAACCAATGGATGCAGATAATAGTGTGGGAAAAGGCAGGAGGGGGGCGGGAGTGGGGAGGAGGAGGTCAATGGGGGAAAAATGAGGAACATCTGTAATACATACAACAATAAAGATTTAAAATAAATAATTAAATAATTATTCTGCACTGTGCCTCTTCATTATCCAGTGTCAGGAGAAAACTGTCATTAAACTCTAGAATTAAATATGTTGTGCTAATGTGCTGAGTCCCTTTACATTTTCTGGAATAACTTTATTCTGTACTAAGTGGCTGGCAGATAACATTGAACAATATTTGGTGATATTTTAAAGTTGTAATTTCATCAGCAACTGGCTTAGGGGATATAAATCTTAATCTGGATATAAAAAGTGTTATGTGCTATATTTGGCTACTCTGAAGACTGAAAAATTACTTTCTCCACCATTTCCCAGTGGACTTTTTCTGGGAAGTCAATTGTCATTGTTCTGGCAAGTTTCTTTTCATCCTAAATTGTGCAACATTTAAAAGAAAGACTGTGAAGGTTACAAAAAAAGAACTTATATGCATACATGCATAACCCACGGACACAGACAATATTGTAGTAAAGGCCTGCATGGGGGAGCAGGGTGGAGGGGGTCAATGGGGGAAAAGAAGGGGATATCTGTAATCCTTTCAACAATAAAGATACATTAAAAAACAACAACATGTTTTAAAGATAATTTTTTTAAATTACAGATATTTGCCCTGGCTGGTGTGGCTCAGTTGGTTGGAGCATTGTCCCTTGCATTGAAAGGTTGCCAATTCGATACCCAGTCAGGGCACATACCTAGGTTGTGGGTTCATTCCCTGAAGGGATCTCACACATTGATGTCTCTTTCTCTCTAACGTCTGTAAAACATATTCTCAGGTGAGGATTTAAAATAATAATAATAATATTACAGAAATTAAAAAAAAAAACAATTAAACAATATAGGTGTGTCTTTCCTTACTCTAAGCCTATATCCCAGAGACAATTCTTTTTAACAGTTTCTTTTATTTCAGTTTCTAGTGGTTGTGAGTGCAATTCTAAACAATATATGTATGCCTTCGTTTATTTTATCAATTTTAGACTCTGTGTACAGCAAGGAGATGCCAAATTCTTGGCATTCTTAAGAGTTATATTTTAAGAATTTAAATTTTCCTGATTCATACATGCCATTTTTTCACTTAATTTCTTTTTTTAAACTATGTTTTTATTGATTTTTAGAGAGAAGAAGGGGAGGGGATAGAGAAACAGAAACACTGATGAGAGAGGAACATTGATTGGCTACCTCCTACGTGCCCTCTACTGGGGATCGAGCCCACAACCCAGGCATGTGCCCTCACCTGGAATTGAACCAGTGACCTCTTGGTACATGGATCATTGCTCAACCACTGAGCCACACCAGCCAGGCTAATTTATTTTTTAAAGTTCTGTTTAACTGTGGTTCTCAGCTGGAAGGGAACAGAGTATGCTATCTCCCCAGCCCACTAGAAGAGTATATTAGAATCTTTGGGAAGGTCTTTGTCACAGTACACATGCCTTTCTTCCTATCTCCAAAGGAAACATGCTTACCTGGTTGAAAATCACGTATGCAATTTCAGATGTTAGTACTTGGGAGTACATTGTGCAACAGTGTAGAAACAGAAACAACAACAACAACAGAAACCAAGTTGAGAATAATGTATATATAAAGGCCCAGACATTTAAGCAGTGAACAGTTCTTTTTTTTGGTTAAAGGATATCATTGTCTTAGATATTTTCTTTTTCCACTTATCCCATTATTTTATTATTAGCTTGTGCAGAGAGCTCCCCCTTCTCTTGACTTCACAAGAGTTCCTGTGTAAGTTTTAATGAATAGACAAGGGCAGTCATATTTATAGCCAGTAAAATTACTATGATGGGCCTTCAGAGTTCAGTGGAATAGTTGTTGAAACTTTGAGTACTAACTCCATGAATGACAAACCAAATCCATCATCTTTTATACCTTTCAGTCAGGTAGAAAACTCTTCGAGATCTGTGATTCTGCATGTTTGAAGATCTACCTTACCTGGCCCAGTGGAGACTAAAATGACAATGACAAGGATGTGCTTGTGGAAAGGGTTGGCTCCACTGTGCTTTGAGTTCTCACTGCGAAGTGAAAAGCCTCAGATGAGAAACACTAATGGGGTTCTTTACCTGTTCTTTTTGCAGACTGCAGCTGAATACGTAAAATCTAGACTCCCAGAGGCCCTTAAACAGCATCTTCAGGACTACGAGAAAGACAAAGAAAATAGTGTGTTGTCTTACCAGACAATCCTCGAACAGCAGATTCTGTCCATTGACCGAGAAATGCTAGAAAAATTGACTGTATCCTATGATGAAGCAGGTATGTTTGTCTTTAAAATACACACAGTCACACAGTTTTTCCTCCCTGCAGAAATTTCTTTATAGACTGGTTAAATTTTTCTGAGGTAGAAGATGAAGGGCAAATGAAACCCAAAGTTACACAGCATGGATTAACAATGAGTTCCTTCTCTGCAGTTTTAGTATTAAAATTTTCATCAGGAAAAACAAAAAAATTTCATCAGGAGAGTCTTTAAAATGCCTCTTAAATATCAAAGTCCTTTTAAAGTTTTGCTCTTTTTTTAAGTGGAATTTTCTGGCCTCTTATCAATCATGTTCTCTCAAACTGATTTAAGCCTTTAGCGTGTCACTTCAACTTTGGACACCAGCTGAAAACTTTCATAGCCACTGTTCCAAGAACTGTTATTTGCTTCAAGTATTATTTTTTAATTTTAGAGAATTTCTTTTCTAAAGAGGTGTCATTTTTTTTCTTAAAGTTTCAAGCCGAATTTGATTTTTGTTTTCTTTAACTCTTCATATGAATCCTAACCCCTGATACAACACCAAATACTTCAGTTCATTACCTCCCATGAGTTCCTCCTGTCCAAGGGGGTTTATTACTGAAGGCATAGACGGACCTCCTTATAACACCATTTTTATCTATTACTTGGTCTGTCAGCTAAAACCCATTTTTAATGAAACCAGTGCAATATTACTTGGAATTATTAAAATATTTAATAGAATTAAACTTAGGAGAAATATCCTGATTGAAATTGCCACCACCACCTCCCCCAACATAATGGAGAAAAAAGTACAAGAAAATAGGTTTGTAATGGTCAAATGTTGGTAGTATCAATCTCAATTTTAATACTAGGACCTTCTGTTTTTATTTCCACAAGGAAGTTGTCAGTATAAATCTTACTTTCTTTATCCCGATCTAAGCAGTTTCAGGGCTGATGTACTTAACATTTGATTTCAAGCTTAAATAGCAAACAGAAGAGCAAACTAAAAAAACAGACAAAAAGTATGCTACATATTTGCCTAACCACTATTGTAATTTTTTGTATTTAACCTGTCCTCAATTATATTCTACCTTCTAACCCCTTTGCATCCCTCTCAGACAGGATCTACATTTCTAGGCTTGCCTAAGACATCTCTACTCTCTGCTTCTCCCTTACTTTATTAATTTTCCAGACACATGGGCTTTCTTCTGCCTTCTGGGTGATTAGTTATGTGGTTTCTGTATTTGCTTTGTTTTTCAAATTCTTGTCTTTGGAATTCTCATTTATCTCTTCTCTTATCCCTCATGGAGTGAGGTAAGGCTATGATCGGCCCAATCAAAATAATATTTATAGCATCTCAGAGATCAGGGAACTCATATACTCATTTGCTTTCTGCCCCATAACCATTTTATGATGAGAAAACAGATACCCACAGACTTGCCTTCAGTAACATGGTTACATAGCTGTAGAGATGGGACTCCAACATCCTATTACTAATCAAGCTGGGCTTTCATCACACTAATGCAGGTTCTCATTCGCTCAGTAGGCATCTATTGAATGCATAGTGATATACTAGGCAGTTGGAAGAAAGGAAAGAGGGAAGGCAGGGGGGAATCTTAGATGTTGAAAACACAGATATTGTTTAAAGTCTAGCTGGGGAGCTAAAACAAACATGTATGACTTCCAGATAAAAGTTCCTGAGGAATTTGGGAATAAGTACACTCTAGAATATTCACAAGCTATTAGAGTTAAGTTTGTTAGGGGAGGACAAAGCCCCGAAAGACAGATATGAATGTGGGTTTGTGCAGATAAGGGAAATACAGTCTATGTGAGGAAGGGGCCCAGATGGACCCGAAGGTGCAAATGCTCACCAGCTGCAGTCTCCCACCACTCAAATTTTCCTTTTTCAGGATAATTTTCTACTCACCTGCACTGTTGTTGAGCAATTACTAATCTCCAGAGGTATACTTGTACATGGCTTTTGGGAGCAAATGCTTTGGCACAGAATTAATGTGTCAATAAACTCTGCAGCATGAAACAGCGGAAACCATCACAGGACTGAGAGAGGATCTGAATTCCAGGCTCTTCCTCTGGCTTAATGGGGATTTTTAGCAAATTCATGTTTTAGAGCCTCGGTTTCTTCATCCATAAATTTAGGCTAATAATATCTCATAGGGTTATTATGATAAAGTACATCATATTTGAGGACGTCTTTAGAAAATCATATTATAAATGCCGCTAATGCTGGATGAGAACAGATTTTGATATTTTCATCCCTAAGACCAGTTTAAAGTTCTCTTAGATTTTTTCTTGGCATCTTGTGTTTGGGGAGCAGAGGCAAATTTTTAAAATAATCTTCAGTAGCTTTGAGAAGTCAAGCAACATCTATGTTAAATCAGCCACCCCTGGCTCAGTTTGCCCTTGGTCATTTCTGCATGCAGTGACACATTTGGTGGGGGCTGTGTGTGTATGAATAAGTGAATGTCACTGTGTGTTCCCAAATCAAAACTGCCGTCTCCTTCACTACCCGTATGTTAATGATTTCATTCAAAGACCAAGGAGAAAATACGAAAAAAGTATTGTTATTTAACAGAAAAATAATTTGTCACAATACAAAGGAATCAGGAAATAGAAGAGTGGTAATTGTATCTGATACCTTCAGATATTAACATCTTATACAAAGACATTCCTTTGCTTCAACTGCTTAACTTCTTTCCATGCTAGCTCAGTGTTTACTTCTCACATTCTTAATTCAGCTCTCCCAGTTTTAGGAAGTAGTTCATTTTTAATTAGAAGATATCCTTGTCTGTAGAGAGGCTAATTTGTCTTTCATGCTCATCTGCTGATAAATCAGCCTGTGTGACAGTTACTACCGTCTGTGGTTTCTAAACTTCTGAAAACCAGTTAATGAAAAATCCTTAGACACTTATCAAAAAGCATTGGCTCAGGACCTCTTTTTCTTCCTCTCTCTTCTTTGTCTTTCCCTCTCAGTTTCCTGTCTTCCCCGTTAAATATATACATATCTTGACATTTTACTCCCACAATTCAACTATCCAGCAACCTGACATTCAGCAAATAAATGGCAAGGAAGCAAAAGCCACATGCAGCCACACCATGTCATGGAGCTTTAGATTCTCACCTGGAAGCTATATATTTTTATGTAATATCATTCTCACCAGTTAGGTTATATTTTCTAACGTGATATTTTAGAATATGCTGGAGGTGACCTAACCAACTACCATTATGTTTTGGTACTAAAGGATATACATTTCAATAAAATAATTGAAATATATACATACATACATACATACATAAAAATATTCTTGTTCTGACATTGAGTGTTATACCTTTATTACAGAAACAAATAGAAATAAGTAGAATGGTATAATAAGAGAATAATAATTATCAGTAATCCTAGCATTGTAAACATTTGGTGTGTTTCCCTCACTCTAAGCATTATTGAAATGTTATTGATATCTAGCCGTTTTATATCCTACTTTTTTCACTTGACATTGTTACATAAGCACCTCTCCATTGTATTAAAACCTCTTCATGTAATGATAATTTTAATGTCTACCTAATATTTTATTCTTTGAAAATACTACTCACTAACCATTATTCTATGTTGGACATTTATGGTTTTTGTTTTTTGTTATTAGGAATAATGCTGCAATAAATAAGATGTGCATAGACGTTAGAATACATCAGTTTAGAATTAGAATTAGAAGGTGAGGGAAGGGGATTATACTGGGAGCAGAGATCTGAGAGCAGCAAGGAATAAGAGTAAAAAGTAAACCAATACACATCTATAAAAACCAGTCATCATGTTCCTAGCATTGTGCTGCCCTCTAAGTCAAATCAGCATTCACAGATCCTGTAGTATATATAGAGTTGACATAATTAATCTTCGTAACAATGACCTTGAATCACAGACAAAAGGTGTAATTATACTCTGTATATAACAATAGGAATTGTGTAAACCATTTTAGAAAGATTTCCATACAAATGGTTTATTTTTAAGTTTTCGTTATTACAGTGATAAATATGTTTTGCGGTATATCTGAAAGAGGTCTTGGAAACAAAAGACCCAGATTCTATTCCTAGCCCTGTCGCCAACCAGATATATGATTGTGAGTAGGTCACTAAACCTTCTTAAAGCCCATTTTCTGCCCTGGCCGGTTTGGCTCAGCGGTAGAGCATCGGCCTATGGTCCAGAGAGACCTGGGTTTGGTTCCCACTAAGGGCACGTACCTCGGTTGCAGTTTGTCCCCGGCCCTGGTTGGGTCATGCGGGTGGCAGCCACTTGATGTGTCCCTTTCACGTCGATGTTTCTCTCTCTCTCTCTCACTCTCCCTCCCCTTCTATCTGAACAAAAAATGGAAAAATGCCCTTGGTTGAGGATTAAAAAAAAAAAATTTAAAGCCCATTTTTCTATAAATCAGAGGAATTAACAGGCTCTCATAGATATCTTCCATATGTAAAACTATGATTCTGGTCTCTTGGCAATGGGAAACTCAGGTAGCCATAGCTTCTGCAAGGTAGCATGTAGCTTCTTCTTGAATTTACTGCTTATTCTATCACCTGTCTCCTCACACAGCCAGTGTGATTTATATAATATCAGCCTCAAAGGCCACCACTCCGCCTTTCTAGTGTCTGTACAAGAAGATGCTCAGGCATACTTCTGTTGGGAGGATGGGGAGCCAGACAATACTAGATTTTGGAAGGAGAGGTTCTGAGCCATCATTCGTGATCTCATTAAAGTAGCTTAGATATTTTTACTAGCATTAGTAATGCAAAGCAAAATGCAGAGTAAGAAAATATGATTTGTATTTGACCTATTAATATTTTTATTTGAAGTACAAGTATATATACATTTCAATCGATTGAGCTTAGACAGAAAAATTTCCAAGGAAAACAGTGGCATAATTTGAGAAGTGATCAAAATAGCATTTCACACTATCTCAGAGAACATCACTAACCTAAATATTCATTTTTTGGTATAGTGGGCAAAAATCAAAGGGTTGAAATAGCAAGAGAGGGA